TCATTCCCTTATAACTTAACTAATTTATTAACACATTTTAACTGATTGTTTAATTAAATTAACAAAAATATTTATACATTAATAAAATGAAAGCCAGAGTTTGTTTAAATAAATGAAATAATAAAGAATGTTGTTTTAAAAGTACTCCTACCAGCTGTTCCGGCATTGTGTAGAAAGATGAAAAAGTACTGTCCTCGGAGCGAGCCGTGTTGACGAAAACCACCAGGGCGGAGCAGATGTACTGGGCTTAGATGGAATATTTGGACTAAGATTCGGAAAATCAGTAATAGTTTTATAATATTCTTAAGCAAACTCTTCGAAGCTTGCATTATGGAAAGTTACATACCGGTTTCATGGCGAGAGTATTATTCCTGCCCTAAGTAGATCAGACAGACTTGTACCTTAAGGACAATCGGCAAATCAGTTTAAATTCATTTCTTCTAAAATTATTGGTACGCATGATAAATGTTCACATCAAGCTAACTGTAGATTAGTGTCTACTCTTAAAAGCACCAAGGAGTGTTGCACAAAGGGTGAATTGGTTGACACAGCTTTGCTTTGACATTATCGTTAGTTTAGCCATCGCTTTTGAAATATCCGGGATGTTCAACAAAGTGTCTAAAAATGCCTTAAGAGACTTTGCTTGGCAAGGGTTTTTTTCTGGATAGTAAATTGTTTATGATTTTTAAGGTATAAAATATTGGGGTTAAATTTTGCTGACTTGTTTGAACATATCTTCTTTCGAACATTTGCTTCAAAATCGGGGCTCTGTAAAAACTGGGATTCCATTCAATTGAGCGGTTATGTCCGGCTGCACTCGTGTGCGTTCGTTCGTAAGTTCTCGTAAGTTCGTACAACGCACGAAGTGTTTGAATGGAATGGCTATAAAAGGATCAACACAGGAAGAGAAACTTCACAACAAATTTAGCCATCGACAGTTGAACGCGCTTGAGAGCTGAAAATATTTTAATCCCCTTAAACTCTCTAATTGAGAAATCATGTATAACTCTAAGTACACAAATATACTATTTTGGGCAGCACAGCGTATCAGAGAACAAGTCGAGCAAAGGCGTAGGGAGATGATGGAAAATCAAAATGTACAAAGCGAACCAGAATCTTCTACCCCAAATACACCCGAACAGCCCAAGAAAAGAACTCCATTGATTTTAAGGAAATATGTGGACACACCCACCACATCAGTCAAGAGAATTCGACGACGACGATTAGATTTTGATCTAGCAGAAAACCTGTGCCGGATGGATGCAGAACATGCAGAATATTAGATTGTTTCATACTAAATATATAAGCGAAATAAATAATTTTTATGAAGAAAATTAAGAAAAATAAAAATAATTTGTTATAATTTTTTGAAATTCCATTAATAAATTGAGGTTTGAAACAATAAAAATACATAAAGAAACCGAAAAATGAAATACAAAAAACATTTGATTTAATAAAAAAGGAGGTAAAATAGGAAGACTAAGTTCGGCTGAACATAAATAATTTGTATTGAGTCCTTACTTCGGTTGAGGATATGTTAAAAGTAATTCTTCAGTAATTTCAAGCTTCTATTAAAAGTATATCACCTACCAAAATAATTATTTTTCTTTCACTAATGTTTATTGAGATATATCAATCAAACTTGGTACACAGAAAAAAATTACTACATTTAAATATAAATATATGGCTTTCTGAGTTTGGGTCATAATTAAAATACTTGTTTTATTAAATTCACGCAGCATACAGTAGTGACAGTCTCGTCGTTGCCATTTTCAAATAACCAGATTTCACCAGACAGCAAGTTTTTTTCTGGTGCAATGGTCTCTCTTCAAATACTTGAGGATTCTTAGAGAAAATTATGCTTATTTATGTATCCCTATTTGAGAAAAATCCAAGCAATTACCCGTACACACCACGTCTTCGTCAATTTTAAAGCAACCTTCGACAGCAAGAGAAGGAGCTGTCCCTTTGACGCTATGTCTGAATTTGATATTCCCGCAAAACTTATACGGCTGTGTAAACTGATCTTAAGCAACACTAAAAGCTCCGTCAGAATCGGGAAGGACCTCTCCGAGCCGTTTGATACCAAACGAGGTATCAGACAGAGTGATTCCTTATCGTGGGCCTTTTTTATTTTGATCTGGAGAAAATAATACGAGCTGCAGATCTGAGTAGGGAAGGTACAATCTTCTACAATAGTATTCAGCTGCTGGCGTACGCCGATGATATTGATGTCGCCGTGAGATCTACATTCTCTAGAATTGATAAAGAACCGAATGGGTCTGGTAGTGAACGAGGGCAAGACGAAATATCCCCTGTCACCAAACAAACAGTCATCAGTTTCGCGATTCGGCTCCCACGTCACTGATGACAGTCATATTTTTGAAGTCTTAGATAACTTCGTCTATTTTAGAACCATTATTAACACCAACAACAATGTCAGACTGGAAATCCAAAGCTACTATTGCCAAAAGGTTCTACTTTGGACTGACAAGGCAATTGAAAAGTAAACGAAAACCAAACTCTATAATTCTCTCATAATACCCGTCCTACTGTATGGCGCAGAAGTGTGGACGATATCAATATCTGATGAGTCGGCTCCAGGAGTCTTCGAAAGAAAGGCTTTGGGCCGATGGAACGATGAGCTGTACGAGCTATACGATGATATTGACAAAGTCCAGCGATTTAAGAGACAGCGGCTACGATGGCTAGGTCATGAAGTCCAAATGGATGAAAGCACACCAGCTCTGAAAGTATTCGATGCAGTACCCGCTGGTAGAAGCAGAGGAAGAGGAAGACCTCCACTCCTTTGGAAGGATCAGGTGAACAGCGACCTAGCTTCACTTGGTATTTCCAAATGGGGCGCTAAAATTGATTCGGCTGTAATCGCGTAAGCGGTGCCAACACCAATAAAGAAGAAGAGAAGAACTTATCGCGATCATTTGTTTTTTTTGTATAATGTTTTATTGAATCTTTCATTTTTGGAAACTAACAATAATTTCGGAAGTCTTAAAGTGAATTCTTATTCCTGGAACAAGTTAATTATTACCACTGTATAGATTAACAAAGTGCAATAAATTACGAATTTATCTTAGATTCATAAAAGAAAGTATTTATATAGGGATATCAAACACTCATGTTTAAAATTTAACAAAAGATATACCATAAAGGATGATTTAAAGTAAATTATAGTATCACGAAGGATATATGATATGCGGAATTATCATCATTTTGTTTGTTACGACATAGTCATACTTTTTTTATTTTTATTTATTTTTTCAAAATAAATTGATAAGAGGTGTTATCAATAGCCCATTCCTACTTAGCGAGCTTAACTTTACCATCCCTTTCAGATCATCTAGACACTTTAGGCTCCTTTCATTGTGCTCATGCAGAACAAGCTTCAACTTAGGCTGTAAAATCTCTAGAAGTCAGGCATTTATGAAACGGAGCAGCATAAAATGTTAAAACATATTACAAAAATGCTGAATCAAACGTAGTCACGTACTTTAAAAGGAGAATATGGTGCATATAATCATCCAACTACTCAAACAATTGGTAGAATCTTAAAGCTGACCTTTCCTAACACCATACTCAAAATTTGCTGAAGAAGGATCAGAAATAGATCTACCTTCAACATATCTTCTATTTCAACCGAAATAAGGACTCAATACAAATTACTTGTGTTCACCTGAACTTAGTCTTCCTATTTTACCTCCTATTTTATTAAATCCAATTTTTTATTGTTTTTCATTTTTCGGTTATGCATTTTTATTGTTTTAAACCTCATTTTATTATAATAAAAAATTTTATTTTTCTTTAATTTCAACTTCGCTTATATATTTAGTAAGAAACAAGTTTTATCTCACATATTACTCCTGCAGAGGTTTTTTGTCTAAATTAACTCTAATTTTATATAAACATGTTTTTATAAAAACACCAAAATATTTATTTTCTTTTAAAATCCCTAAACTAATATTCTCATCTTCTGCATCCATCCGGCACAGCTTTTCTGCTTGATCAAAATCTAATCGTCGTGGCCGAATTCACTTGACTGATGTGGTGGATGTGTCCACATATTTCCTTAAAATCAATGGAGTTATTTTCTTGGGCTGTTCGGGTGTATTTGGGGTAGAAGATTCTGGTTCGCTTTGTACATTTTGATTTTCCATCATCTCCCTTCGTCTTTGCTCGTCTTGTTCTCCGATACGCTGTGCTGCCAAAAATAGTATATTTGTGTACTTAGAGTTATACATGATTTCTCAATTAGAGAGTTTAAGGGGATTAAAATATTCTCAGGTCTCAAGCGAGATCAACTGTCGATGGCTAAATTTGTTGTGAAGTTTCTCTTCCTGTGTTGATCCTTTTATAGCCATTCCATTCAAACTCTTCGTGCGTTGTACGAACTTACGAACGAACGCACACGAGTGCATCAGGTAACCGAATGTATGTGTATGTGCATTATTTGTTTATGCTGCTGCACTAGCCGAGTGGTCAACAGTGCATTCAATCAAACGTAGGGTCAAATTAAAAAAAAAACGATCTGATGAAACCAGCTTCCAGAAATTATAGAAACTGTTTATTTAAATTTTTCTTGATACAGTTGGCACCAGGCAGAGAAGGTCATCCCAACACAGTATATTTCGGACACAAAATAGAATATGTACAGATATATTTTACAAAACGGCTACCGAATTGAGCGGAAGCCAAGTTCTCCAAGCTTCAATCTTAAAGAAAATCACTTCAAAAATAAATATGTTTAAAAATGTTAGCAGAATTTGACCACGGTATTTTATACTTTAAAAAGTACAAATAAACTACTATTCAGAAAAAATTTCTGTGTCAAAAAAAATTTCTCTTCTTTAAATTTCTGATTTTTCTTGATTAATCTCTTGATGACCATAAAATATTAATTATTTTTGGTACGAAGTGCGGGGAGAAGAAAATCGGCATAATGAAAATAAATTAAAAATTTCCCTATGTCGAGTTTGGTTTTCAAA